CGACTAGTGCTACTACTACTACTACTACTACTACTGCTGCTACTACTATTACTACTACGACTAGTGCTACTACTTCTACTACTACTACTACTACTACTACTACTACTACTACTACTACTACTACTACTACTACTACTACTACTACATTACTACTACTACTACTTCTACTTCTTCTACTACTACTACTACTACTACTACTACTACTACTACTACCGCTACTGCTACAACTGCGACGATGAGGAGACGGAGGAGGACGGCGTTTACCGCTCCTACTAATGTTGCTTTCCTAGAGGTTCCAACTCCACATGTATATATATATATATATATATATATATATATATATACCCGACGGCCCCCCAGTGGGGCCACCAGGCTGTAGGACGAAGTTGCTGCTGCCTGCGCCAGTCGAAGCTTCAAGTCCACTGTTACGGTCCTCTTTCTGCTTCCTGCTGGAACTTGTTGAAGTCCGCGCGAGGGGGTGGGAGTCCCAAACCAGGAAGTTACCACGCCCGCATCGCGTTGCCTGAATGCCGGGGGGGGGGGCGTGGGACACGCACAAACACGTGAGATCCTCACCTCCGGGGCCATAACCCCGAGCACATTGCGCAGTGTTCGCGTCCCCCGAGGTCAGCAGCCCTCGCAAATTACGGAGTTCGTATGTCCCCGAGGCATCCAGCCCTCGTAACTTACGCAATCTTCGCGTCCCCGAGGCCATGCACTTTCGCTAATGACGCTGTGTCCGCATTGCCGAGGCCAAGAGTGCTCCAAGGCGCTCGAAGGTGGTTCCAAGACAGCCCAAGTGGGCCCCAAGAGGCCCAAGAGCGCTCCCAGAGGCATCCCGAGAGAGAGCCCCCAGAGGGCCAATCGTCGATTTTACAAAAGGTTTTTGGCGGATTTTGGCCTTCTTGTATTTTCGGCTTTCCGACGCTCCAAGTCGGCTCAGGCAGCTCCCAAGACCGCCCTAAGAGAGCCCAAGAGGCTTCCAAGAGAGCCCCAAGACGGCCCAAGAGGGCTCCAAGATTGCCTACGAAGCGTTCAAGACGACCCAAGAGGGCCCCAAGACGGCCTCAAGAGGAGCCCAAGCAGGGGACCACGAACCGACAATTCTATATTCGTGCCCCGAGAAGGCCCCATGACGGCCCAAGAGGCCCCCAAGACGGCCCCAAGAGGGCCCCAACACAGGTCAAGAGGCCTCCAAGACGCCCAAGATGGCCTCTAAGACTGCCCCGAAGCGCCCCAAGAGGTCCCCAAGTCGGCCCAGAGAGGCCCCCGAGACGGCTCCCGACGGCGTCAGACGTGCCAGGAACCCACCAAGATGGCCGAAGTTGGCTTGAAGCTGGCCCAAGACGGCCGAACAGGCCTCCAAGAGGGCCTCCAGGAAGGCCAGAAAAGGCCAAAAATAGTTATTTTCCCTAGGTGTTTTGAATGATTTGACATTTGCTTCTTTTCGGCCTTCCGACGGCCCGCGACGGCCCAAGAGCCCCCAACGATCGCCCAAAGATCGCCCAAGAGGCCTCCAAGATGACCCCAGAGCGGCCCCCAAGACGGTCCCAAGAGGCCCCCAAGACGGTCCCAAGAGGCCTTTAAGACGCCCAAGATGGCTTCTAAGACGGCCCTGGAGCATTCCAAGAGGACCCCAAGTCGGCCCAGAGAGGCCCCCCAAACGGCTTCCGACGGCGTCAGACGGGCCAGGAGCTACCAAGAAGGCCGAAGATGGCCTAAGATGGCCCAAGACGGCCCAAGAGGCCTCCAAGAGATCCTCCAGGAAGGCCCGGAAAGGCCCAAATCATTGATTTCCTATGAGTTTTTGAAGGATTGTGGCATTTGCTCTTTTTCGGCCTTCCGACGGCCCAAGACGGCCCAAGTGCCCCCAAAGATCGCCCAAGAGGCCCAAGACGGCCCCAAGAGGCCTCCAAGGCGGCCCAAGAGGCCTCCAAGACGCTCAAGATGGCCTCCAAGACGGCCCAAGAGCCTTCCAAGACGTCCTCCAAGAAGGCCCGAAAGGGTCAAAATGGCCTCCAGACGGCCAAGATGATCTTCAAGATGCCCACGTGTTTCCCGAAGGCTTTCCAAACCGATTCGGGGAACACATGGTCCGATAGCTTGGCAGGTCTGGCCTCAACGTGCGGCCACATAGGCGCTTCCAAAAGCGTCTTCGGTAACGCAAACGTCTCAACATGCGCTGATGATTCCTATCCGCCCCCGCATGGTGTTCCCAGCTGCGCCAAGGCAGCGTCGAGACGCACCGACGCGACTCTGATATATACCAGTCTCATAGAGAGGGGGTCGGCGGTAGCGGGCGAAACCCTAACGGATATAGAAAGCCTCTCTCTCTCTCTCTTTCTCTCCTCCCCGTCCTCCTCTTCCGTCGGCTTGTTCGCATCCCCTCCCCATCAGTGGGGGAAGCGGCAGTTTTTCATCGTCGGGCCTTCCTCCGACCAGAAGCAGGCCTGCGCCTGCTCCGGCATGATCCCGGGCAGTCCAGCTCACTCCGGCTTCTTTCCCCGGCCACCCGCCCCGCGAAGTGGAGCGACGCGCCAGCTCGCGGGGCATGGCGCGTCGCTGGGCCCGCCGCCGCGGACATGCCGAGCAGAAGTACCTGACCGTGCCAGGGCAAGGGCTCCCCGCTCGGACTTCCAGGCGCCGCGAGAGGATCGCCGTGGGCGTGACGCTTACCCCCAGCCCCCCGCTCCTCCCGTGGTGCCGGGTCCTCGTTCCCCCCCTTGCGGCGCCACACGCCCGCAGACCGCAGGCCTTCCTCTCCTCCGTGCTCTCCTCCCCCGCCGCCGCCGCCGCTGTTGCTGCTGCTGCTGCTGCTGCTGCTGCTGCTGCTGCTGCTTCTGCTGCTGCGCCGCCTGCTGCCTGCTGCCTGCTGCCTGCTGCCTGCTGCCACTGCCCCGCCGCTGCTGCCGCTGCCGCTGCCGCTGCCGGCTGTTGCTGTCGCTGGCGCCCCCCTTGTCTCAGAGGAGGGAGAGGTGTAGCAATGGCAGTTGGGCTTCGGTTCGGGGGGCCTCATCGTCGCCGCGGCTGGACGCAGCTCGTAAAATTGGTGCGCTTGGACCCTGGGGGGGGGGGTTCCAGGGACCGACTTGGAGCTGCTGTTGTCTCAAGTCGCCTTGCTCCGACTGTCTCTGCTGCGCAGCTGGCCTCTGCTCGCTGGCTGGCGTGCCCCTCGCACGCCTCGTGCCCCACAGGGCGCCCTGGCTGTGGCTCCTGTCACTTTCGGCAGCAAACTCGCACTCTTCGTGTCCGAGAGGGTGTCCCAACTACAGCCCCAGTGGAGCTTCCGCATGCAGTCGGCGTGCCCAATTCGGCGCCTCCCTCACACGCATAGTGCCCATACAGCGGCCCAACAATAGCCCCGTGGCGGCGTCCGCATGCGCCGCCCCCCTTGGCGCACCCTCGCGCACTTCGTGCTGCCAAGGGGGCCCGAGCTAGGGCCCCAGTGGAGGGACTCGCATGCGGACGCCGCGCCACGCGTTTTGTGGTTCATAGGGGGCCCCAGCTCAGGCCCAAGTAGGGTGGCTCGCATGCAGTCGCCGATGCTCGCCGCGCACATGTCGGCACCCCCCTCGGAGCTCCCGAGCCTCGTGGGGAGCCGCAACTGCGGCCTCAATGGTGGCGCGCCTGCAGGCAGTCCACGCCTCGACTCAGCAATGCCCCCTGCGCGCCTCGTGCGCACTTCGCCTCGATGTACCCCTCAAGAGGCGAGGCATACATGACGAGAGGGCCCCCCCTACGTTGCACGCAGCTGCACACGGTTTTGCCCGTCGTGAGGCTAATATTGTTTTTCACTGCGACTTCATAGCCGGGGCAACGTTTAGTTTCTCGGGCCGCGGAATTCGCAGAGCAGGACCTGTCACGAAAGAACGGTGCCTCCGCTCGTCCATTCTTCTCTTCTCCTATCGTTACCCCTTTCGTTGTCTCCTCTGCTGGGGTCTGGCTTGATGCCGCTGTTAAATACAGGCTTCTTGACCTTGTGCCTCGATTCTGGAGTCCCCAATCGATTGATGGGGTTGGGACCTCCGCCCATTTTGACACCGACTTGGGCAGAATGTCCACACCCCCTCCTCCTCCTCCTCCTCCTCCTCCTCTTCCTCCTCCTCCTCCTCCTCCTCCTCCTCCTCCTCCTCCTCCTCCTCCTCCTCCTCCGCCCCCCTCTGCTCCCCATCCTCCTGCCGTTTCGGCTCCTCCCCCTCCTCCCCCCTTGCCCCCCACATCTCCCTCCTCCTGCCTGCCTCCATGCCTGCCGAGCCCCCATGTGCCCGCGTCTCGCGCCGCCAGAGGCGGCACCGCCGTGCAAGCTTGACTTCACCCCCTTCCTTTGCGGGGGGGGGGCCGCGGACCCCCCCTCGCCTCCGCTGGCCTCCGGAGGCGAGCGCTCCCGGGGCCGCGCTCGCCTCCGCCGAGGCGGCACCTCGTCGCAGGGCCTGCGTTCGCGCGCTTCGCGCCTCTGACTTTCGCCCGGCCGGCCGCTTCAATGCGTTTTTCCATGCCGGGTCTTTTCGCAGATTTTTGTTTTGTTCGCTTCATGGGCTTGCTTCCAGGCCCCTGGGACCACCAAGAATGGATTTGGGGCGAGAAGCCAACCCCAGGGAAGGGCCCCGGACGTCTCGGGCCGCGCGCTGTGGGGCTCGCTCGGTCCTCCTCCTGATTTGATTGTTTGTTTCCTGGCCCGGGGATGTCTCTGGAGGTGTCCCGGAGGTCCGCAGCAGAGGCACTTGGAGGTCCCGGTCCCTGGGGGGCCTCCGTGTGGCCCTGGGACGACCCCAGAGGCTTCCAAAGGCCAGGAATGGCAACCGCTGCAGAACATCAGTCCTCCCTCCTCCTCCTTCCTCCTCTTCCTCCTCTTTCTCCTCCTCTTCCTCCTCTTCCTCCTCCTCTTCTTCCTCCTCTTCATCCTCCCTCCTCCTCTTCTCGTTGGGCCTCCCTCCCCTCGAGGGGGTGTCAGTTTGGCTTCTCCCTCCTCTGGCCCTGGCAGTGGCCCGCCGTCCGCGGAGGTGGGCGGAGGAGTACTGCTCCTCGGGCAAGGACGACTGCCGTGAGACCAGGTGCCAGGGGAGGAGGATGGGGGAGGGGGAGGAGGAGGAGGAGGAGGAGGAGAAGGAGGAGGAGGAGGAGGAGGAGGAGGAGGAGGAGGAGGAGGAGGAGGAGGAGGAGGAGCAGGAGGAGGAGGTCATCGACGGCTCGAAAGCAGGTCTCAAAACGAGGCAGCCCTCGTCCATTATGACCAGTCACCCAAACCCGGTCGTCCGAAAGTCGCACGCCTCGCGGGAGCCGTGGTCTCGGCGTCAGCAGCCGGACCTTGTCCCCCGTCAGCACTAACAGTCTGCAGCCCGCAGGCAGCGAAAATGTGCTCCAGCCGCGTGTGCGACTGCCGCAGTGGCAGCGATGCTGGCGAACACGCCGCCGGCGGAGAAAGGGGAATCCCCAAGGGTTGCGACAACGAGGATCGGCATAAACATGAACATTCGGAGGTCCGCGCGGATTTCTTGGATCGGCGCTGGACCACCCTCCCTGGCGCGCGCGGAGCGCGCCAGGGGTGGCGCCGGAGGCGCCGCCAGGGTGGTTTTTGCAGTTGCTTGCTCCTCTAGGGTCAAGACGCTGATATAACTGACGGCTTTGGGCGCAGGAGGGACTCTGGTTTTCGGGCCGCTCCTCAGATTCGTGTCGTGGAACCTGTTTGTGGCCTGGGCCCGCAGTGGCCAGAAAAGCCTAAGCCCCATTCGTTCCTTCCTATGTGCCCCTGGAGGTATCACGATGGCTGTGCTAGTGGACTGCCCAGCCTCCCTGACGGGACCACGCCTGACTGCCCGAAGAGGTGCTGCTTAGGAGGCGGCCCGCCGCAGGCCGGCGTCTCGACTTCCCTGGGCTGCCCAGCGGAGGGCCGGCTGGCGGCGCCTCCGCGCCCGCGGGGCGTCGGCCCGAGGGTGCTGCTGCGGGCTCTCTCTCGGCCTCGCGCAGAAGGGGGGCAGGGGGAAGGGGGAAGGCCTCTAGAAACACCCCTGCTTCTAAGGAGCCAGACCTCCCCGAACCCTCCGAGACAGCTCAGATCACCCCTCCTCCCAAATATGACCCCCCCCCACTTGATTGTGAAATCCAGAGTAGCGTGTCGAACTTCTGGTCCTGGCCCACCATGCCTCGGCTCGACAGACTATCCACGTCCCAGTCCTCGAGCGTCAATGTCCCGAGCCTTTCCCAGCCTCCCGCCCCGCGGGGCGGAGCGACACGCCATCCGCTTGCAAGGCATAGCGTGTGTCTGGGGCCGCGATACGCTAAGCACATGTTCCTGACCGAAGGCGTCCCCCCAGCGTGGGCCTGTTCATGAGCAGCGGGATCTGAGTAGTTCAGAAGCAGCAGGAACTCGATCCTCCGCAATTGGGAGTTCACCTGCTTCTTTCACAGCCCAGCGATGGCACGAAGTGGCGGAAGATGCTGATGAGGCGAGGAGGTCTGGAGGGAATCACAGACGGAAGGGATGAGGGATGGAGCAGGATGATGATGATGATGAGGAGGAGGAGGAGGAGAAGTAGAAGAAGGAGGATGGTCCGTAGCCATTTTGGCTCAAGCCATTTTGGCTCGCGGGGGGGGGGCGCGCTCCACACCGCCCGCGAAAGGGGGCCGACAACAACCACCAGAAGGTGAACGTCCGGGAGAGGGTGGTCATCCGGGAGAGGAAGATCATCCACCAGCTGGCAAATTACAAGCTGGACATCTACATATCGGCTACGACGGCCAATATGCCGAGACTTTATCCGCATAGTGAAGTACAAACAGATGCAGCTCTCAAGAGAGCGGGCTACCTCATCCGACACGGGCTGCAACCACAACTCAACGACATCATAACTATCGCTACGACCGCCTTCATTATGGCGTCCACTCCAGGACAGCATGAACTGTGTAACATGCAGCCTGGGGAAGAGCTGCGTAACGAGCAGGCCAAGGAACAACAGCGTAAGAGGCAGCTTCAAGGAGACACCGAATGCGCCACCAAGACCGACGCCAGGAAAGTACGTCGTCGTCGTAGAGGTTCTGGTGGACAATGGCCGCGCTGCCTACGACGAGTGCGACTACGGCCGCGCCGCCTATGACGAGTACTACTGCGACAGTGTGTTCGATAACGACCTGTGCTCCTACGACCTCCAGGGCTACGACGGACCGCGGCGTTACGAACACCGCCAGGACTACAGGGGCACTCAGATAGTAGAACGCTACGACTTGGTAGCCGGCGACTCCGACTTGGACCCCAGGAGCTACGAAGAGAGTGTGCCGTCTGAACTGCTACAGCCACCAGTAGCGTTACCTACCTTGGAAGGGGACTGCCAGAATCTTGAATCGTGCCCAAACACCAGTCTTGGGACTTCAAGACCGCAAATCAAGATGACTGTTGCGTCCTGCAAACCCTGCGTCGTACACCGCAATTCAATATGATCGTTGTGCCCTGGCAATCCTCAATCGTGCCAGACTATTTCTGGGACTTAACAGCCAGGCTCCCTAAAACGGCTGCGAACCCACATTTAGAAAACCCGCCCTCCTCCATCCTGGCAGCTGTTGGAAAAATAGCACGAATGTGTGCGGCGGAAAAGCGAGAGCTACATCTCGAAAGCCAGCCGCCTTCCATACTTGAAGCTGTTGTGCACTTTCAAGGCGCCTGTGCGCGGCGCTCCAGCGAGAGCCACATGTTGAAAGCCAGCCGCCCTCCAACCTGGAAGCCCTTGCAAATCTCAAGCTTTCTGAACATAATTTGTGATTCAGTCTCATGCGGAACGTCCAGCCCGCCCTACCGACGAGTTTTGGGGCGCGACGGGGGGGGAGTTAGATGGCAAACGGCTGGAGGAGGAGGAGGAGGAGGAGGAGGAGGAGGAGGAGGAGGAGGAGGAGGAGGAGGAGGAGAGTAGGAGGGGGAAGGGGGGGGGTGGAGAAGTAGGAGTGAGAGGACGAGGAGGAGGAATCAGAGAAGGTGAAGGAGGAGGAGGAGGAGGAGGAGGAGGAGGAGGAGGAGGAGGAGGAGGAGGAGGAGGGAGGAGGAGGAGGAGGAGGAGGAGGAGGAGGAGGAGGTGAAGGAGGAGGGGGACATTGCAAACCCAAGGCTCATGAATGATGTTGCAGTAGCCCTTCATCCAAGTTTTCTCTTCGCAGGTACCCTCAATAATGTATCCTTCTTGAGGGAAGAGCCCCATTGGAAGACAACTGTTTGAGAATGCTTAGTCGTGCCAAGCACTATTCTTTCAAAGAGCGCTTCTGGGTGTGAAGAGCAAGGCTTGTAGGGACATGCCGGGGGGATCTTGGGAAGGGGCGTTCGTTGCAGCAGCATTGGCGCATTGTTGTCGCATTCATCCGTTGTTCCTTCTCCATCTCCTTTTGCTCCTCCTCCTCCTCCTCCTCCTCGTCCTCCTCCTCCTCTCCTCCTCCGCGTTCTCCTCCTCCTCCTCGTCCTCGTCCTCCTCTCCTCCTCCTCCTCCTCCTCCTCCCTTCTCCCCTTCCTCACCCCATTCCAAACCTGCTTCTTTCCTCCTCCTCCTGCTCCTGCTCTTTTCCTGCTCCCCCCCCTCCTCCCCCTCCACCTCCACTTTTTCCTCCTCTTTCACTTCCCCTCCGCCCCCCCTCCCTCCTCTTCGGGTGGCCTCAGACATCCGCGGCGAGACCCCCCCCCCAGGTGCTGCGCCGAGGAGCCTTCCGCAGGGGAGATTCACCGCGCCGCGCCGGCAGCTCGATGTCCCCCTCCACCCATGAGCTGGTCCCCTCCTCCAGAACAAGTAAACTGCATAAGCATAGATTTTCGGAGATCCGTGCGGATTTGTTGGATCGGCGATTGGCATCCTCCGCGCGCCATGGGCGGCGCCCGAGGCGCCGCCAGGGCTGATAACAAAACACCTGCGCAGGTTTCCGAACATTTGAAGCGATGCCGCTTTCCATTCCTCTATCCATGGGGGGGGCGAGCGGACGGGAGGGGGCCCGTGACGACGAACCACAAATCGGACGGATTTGGGCAATCTTCGGCCTTTGGGGGGGAGTTGGACCGGGCCCGAGGGCAGTCCTAGGTTGAGTGGCGAGTCCTTGGGAATTGTTCCAGGTTCCTGATGAGCCATTCGGCATCCGCCGACATGGATTTTCAATTCGCGGCACCAGAGTTTCCGACCCCTTCCTCTTCGGGTAGTTCTTCTTCCCCGATCACTTGTTGATGGTTCTGGGGCCCAAAACGGGCCGGTGAGGCCAACATCGAGGAAACATTCCGAGACTAAAACGTGGTGGCGATGTTTTCATGACGCGGGTCCCGGAAGTCCATTTGTTTCTCCCCGTGGCCGCTTTTCGTCCCGAGCCTCTTTTCCTGTTATTTTTTTTCGAGAGGGCTCCATCATAGGTAAAACACATCTACAGCAGAGTCCCACGGAGGGGATTCGGAGCCCCTGGACGTCTGGTCCAGCAGCTGGTGCGGCAGCCGTCTTGCTGCAGATTCCCTCACACTTCATTCAGGAACCGTGCCCTCGCCTCGGTGCCCGCCGGACGGCCACGGTCCCTTCTGAAGAATACACTGCCGGTGCACATGGCCGTGCTCTCGGCCCCTGTCACACGGCCGCGATCCTTTGCGCAAAGACACACTGCGGTGCACGCGGCAGTGCTCTCGCCCCCGTCACACGGCCACGATCTGTTGTAGAAAGCTGCGTTGCGGTGCACGTGGCCGTGCTCTCACCCCAGTCAGTCGGCCACGGCCCCTTGCCACAGCAAAAGAAACGAACTGCGGTGCGTGTCGCCGTGCTTTCACCCCTGTCACAGGGTCGCGGTCCTTGGTAAACATACATTTCGCTGCACATGGCCGTGCTCTCACCCTTGTCACACGGCCATGGTTCCTCGTCGAAAACGCGCGTGGCCATGCTCTCGCCCCTGTCACACGGCCACGATCTCTTGTACAACAGTGCGTTGCGGTGCGCATGGCCGTGCTCTCAACCCTGCCACACGGCCACGACCCCTTGCACAACAAGTCGCACTACTGGGCTCTTGGCCGTGCACCCCTTGTCACGTGGCCACGATTTCTTGCACAACGATTGACACTACGGTGCACATGGCCGTGCTCTCACCCTTGACATGCCTAGGCATCCTTATGAATACATGCAAATGCGTGCTTTCACCAGCCGACCTCCTACTCCTCGACCAGCCTCCCCACCTTTGCTGTTGTCAGGGTGCTTTGCTCGGGCAATTTGACAGTCCCGTGGCCCGGCCAGGGCCCACGAGGCCGAAAACGGCCGAAACGCTGCTGTCGTGATTTTTCTCAACGCGAGGATGTCTGGGGATCCCTGATGGGCCTTCAGCCCTGCGCCCGACGAGGAGGGCATGCAGTGCTACGCCAAGGACGAGGCGCGCGCCCAGTGCAAGCCCTCCTGCACGCCGGCAGGCCCCCGCAGCCTGCGCGCGGCTGGGACGCCTTGCGGCAAACGCGCGGCCGACTCGACGCTGAGACGACGATCCCGGCCTCCCAAGGGGGTTCCGAGTAGATGGGGTCGGACCCAGTCTGGGAGGCCCCAAGACGAGGCAGGAGGGAGAAGGGAGTAGAGCCCACAGCTCCGACGATCTGATTTGTTTCAGTCCCAGTGTGTTTCTTCGATTTCGGCTTCTGGGCCCGATATCGCGCCCCGGCACCAGGAAAAACACAGGTCGGCGGATATCTGGGGAGGAGGGAGGAGTGGAGGGAGGAGGAGGAGGAGGAGGAGGAGGAAGAGGAGGAGGAGGAGGAGGAGGAGGAGGAGGCAATGAGGCAATGACCGGGAACGTGCAAGTGAATCACGTACACGACTGGATGATATGGAGTCCCAACGGCCGGCGCAGCAACCGCGCACGGGGGCGCACAGGTACTGCCAGCCGAAGGGGAAGAGCCAGCACTCTCGGGACGTCTGGGGTATGCATTGCAGCGGCCCAACCACAAGACGTCCGAGGGTCTCGCACAAACCAGCGCCCCTCAGTCCTACGCCAGCTTCTCCAGCAGGACGCGCACCCGCAGGTCGTCCAGTGAACAGCGTTCGAGGATGGGGGCAACGGAGTCGAGGTGAACGTTCGGCGCCGCGAGGCTCAGCTCCAGCAGGCGCGCACACTCGCGCACCTCGTCCACCACGGGCGGCATCGCCGTGGAAGAGGAGGAGGAGGGTGAGGAGGAGGAGGAGGAGGAGGAAGGTGAGGAGGGGGAGGATGGTGACGAGGAGGGGGTCCGGCCGACCGCGGCGCCAGGCCCGGATATGACCGACGTCGACGGAGAACCGTGGAGCTGCAAGGACGCCGGGGGGGGTGGCGGCAGCCAGCTGGCCCTGGGAATGGCAAGGAGTTCGTACCGGGAAGCTGGATACGTTGGCCGGCCTGGGCGAGAGTTGGATACACATGTGGCCGCATGTTTTTTTCAGCGCGCAGACCCCAGGTGCGTTTCCTTCGGCCAGCCTCCGCATGCATTTGCCCGTGCCACCAAAAGGACCTTGCGCGCCTCGCTGCGGCGGGCACGCTGTCGCCTGTGCCAGGCGGGGTCCTTCTGCGTTATGGCGGCAGCACGGCGCGACCTGGTGCGAAGTCCGCGCCCTGGGGTCGGCCAATCTGCCCGGGCGGTGCAAAATACGGGCTCGAGAATATCACGACGCCTAGGAGGTGGACGAGGAGCACGAGAAGGATGGGGAGGAGGTGAATAAGGGGGGTCTGAAGCTGTGGGGATCGCATGGTATCGTCAATCCAGACTAGTGGAGCCTGCGACCCCGATCTCTGGCCGAAACACTTCCAATTCTGCTGGCTTCCGCAATTTTTTGCGACCATGTCTGTTTCTGAGCCATGGGATCATTACCAAAACATCATCCGCGGCGCAAGCGGGATTGGGACCAGAACGATTTGCGGTGACCCCCTTCCGATGTGTCCGAACAGCCACATGGCGTTCCCAGACGAATCCATGTATGTCGGGAGCGTTCTTGTTATGCCGCCGCTCTTTGTCTCCCCCCTCCAGGGCATGGTTTGTCCGCCCTGGCCGGCGCCCACGACAGTCAGCAGGTCAACTTCGGACATACCGGCGTATTGCCGATTTGAGGCTTGTCCCCGTTGTAGCTCACTCCTCGTCCCTCTGTCCTCTCTGGTCGCACCGCAGCCAGGTCTCTGTGTGCACTCTGTCGCTCTGCAACGCTTTCCTCGATATACTTGTATGAAGAGCTGCCAATCGCGCACTCTTCTGCCCATGCGTCCTTCAGGACGCTCGGCTCATTGTTGGTGGTACCACTCTTCGCTTTCCCTCCTAAACCCCCTCCGTCTCCTCTTCCCCACGTTGGCGCAATCTAGCCTACGCTGGCGCAAGGTAAAAGGAGGATGGGGAGGAGGATGAGGAAGTTGAGGTGGAGGAGGAGGAGGACGATGAGGATGAGGGTGAGGATTAGGAGGAGGTGGTGGAGGAGGAGGAGGAAGAGCAAGAGAAGGTGTAGTAGAAGGGTGCAGAGGGAAGAGAAGGAGGACGTCGTCGCTGTCGCCGCCGCCGCCGCCTTTATCGCCGCCGCCGCCGACATCGCCGTCGTCGTCGTCGTCGTCGTCGTCGTCGTCGTCGTCGTCGTCGTCGTCATCGTCGTCGTCGTCTCCATCCTCCGGGGGAAAAGGAGATCGGGCCGCGAACGCCCGGCATCGCCGCGGAGCCGAACCTGGAGGGCCTGGTGCCCCCCGCGTGGGTCAAGACGCCGCTCCCCCAGTCTCCTGGCTGCTGCTGCTGCTGCTGCTGCTGCTGATGCTGGTGCTGGTGCTGGTGCTGACGATGACGATAATGCTGCTGCTACTCATGATGGTGATGATGAGGAGGATAATAGTCATGATCTTGGGATGTTGACTAGCCGGCCGCTCTGCTGTTGATCGGGAGTTTCTGTATATAGAGAGAAGGCGCGTGCGCCTGTGTTCGATGACGATGGTGAGAACGAGCGGGTGGCGTTGGTGCGGCGGGTGAGGATCGGGAGAGCCAAGATGAGGAGAATGAAGATCAGGGAGGGTGAGGATTGGGCGGGCGGGGATCACCTGGGGGTCCCTGGGGGTGCGCTGGGGGCCCGTGGGACACGCCCAGCGCGCCCGGTGCGCCCATTGCAGCGCCGGAAATGGTCTGTGTGGGTGCGCTGGGGGCCCGTGTGGCGATTTTGTGAGGATGTCTCGAGCGAGGGCGCCGGGTTGGGACACGCCCAGCGCGCCCGGTGCGCCCATTGCAGCGCCGGAAATGGTCTGTGTGGGTGCGCTGGGGGCCCGTGTGGCGATTTTGTGAGGATGTCTCGAGCGAGGGCGCCGGGTTGGGACACGCCCAGCGCGCCCGGTGCGCCCATTGCAGCGCCGGAAATGGTCTGTGTGGGTGCGCTGGGGGCCCGTGTGGCGATTTTGTGAGGATGTCTCGAGCGAGGGCGCCGGGCTGGGACACGCCCAGCGCGCTCGGTCCGCCCAGTGCAGCGCCGGAAACAGTCCCTGGGGCCCGTGTGGCGATTTTGCAAGGATGTCTCGAGCGAGGGCGCCGGGCTGAGAACACCCAGCGCGCCAGGTGCGCCCGGTGCAGCGCCAGAAATGGTCCGTGGGGGTGCGCCAGGGGCCCGTGTGGCGATTTTGCAAGCATGTTTCGAGCGAGGGCGCCGGGTTGGGACACGCCTGGCGCGCCTGGTGCGCCCGGTGCAGCGCGGAACTGGTCCCTGGGGGTGCGCTGGGGGCCGGGAGGGCGATTTTGCGAGGATGTCTCGAGCGAGGGCGTTGGGTTGGGACGCGGGCGAGGGCGCCGAGTTGGGACACGCCTGGCGCGCCTGGTGCGTCCAGTGCAGCGCCGGAAATGGTCCGTGGGGGTGCGCTGGGGGCCCGTGTGGCGATTGGGGATGTCTCGAGCGAGGACTTCGGGTTGGGAAAGCGCCGGGTGCGCCAGGTGCAGCGCCGGAAATGGTCCGTGGAGGTGCGCTGGGGGCCCGTGTGGCGATTGTGCGAGGATGTCTCGAGCGAGGGCTCCAGGTTGGGACACGCCCGGCGCGCCCGGTGCGCCCAGTGCAGCGCCGGAAATGGTCCGTGGGGGTGCGCTGGGGGCCCGTGTGGCGATTTTGCGAGGATATCTCGAGCTGGGTTGGGACACGCCCGGCGCGCCCGGTGCAGCGCCAGAAATGGTCCCTGGAGGTGCGCCGGGGGCCCGTGTGGCGATTTTGCGAGGATGTCCTGGAGGTGCGCTGGGGGCCCGTGTGGCGATTTTGCGAGGATGTCTCGAGCGAGGGCGCCGTGTTGGTACACGCCCGGCGCGCCCGGTGCAGCGCTGGAAACGGTCCCTGGAGGTGCGCCGGGAGCCCGTGTGGCGATTTTGCGAGGATGTCCTGGGGGTGCGCCATGGGGCGATTTTGCGAGGATGTCTCGAGCGAGGGCTCCGGGTTGGGACACGCCCGGCGCGCCCGAAGCAGCGCCGGAAATAGTCCCTGGAGGTGCGTTTGGAAGCGACTCTCCCGCGCGCCGGGGGTAAGGATGACGTGAGTTCCGCAGAAACTCCCTCAAATGATGCTGCTGCAGATGATGATTCTGATGATTCTGATGATGATGATGATGATGATGATGATGATGATGATGATGACGATGATGATGATGATGATGATGATGTTTATGATGGCGATGCTGATGACGATGATGATGTTCACTATGCTGCTGTTGGTGATGATATGATGATGATGGCGACGATGCTGATGATGCTGATGATGATGACGATGACTGACGATGATAATGATGATGGTGATGATGATGATGATGATGATGATGATGATGATGATGATGATGATGATGATGATGATGATGATGATGATGATGATGCTGCTGATACGACGATCGCAGCGCTTCCAGGAGACAACACGCATAGCTGACTTGGCCGTGTATCTACTATCCAGGCGCCTGACCTCGACAGCGAGCCCACGCGAGAGGTGCAAACCCCACTAAAGAACCCTCTCCCACCCCGCCACACAAGAAAGAAAGGCGAGGACCCCCCTTCCCCGACAGCCCGAAACGATGCTTGGGGAGGGTTGCCGGAATGCAGCTCTTCGCCGCTGACCCCAGCACCCCGAAACTCCTCCTCATCCTCTCCTCCTCCTCCTCCTCCTCCTCCTCCTCCTCCTCCTCCTTTACCTTGCTACTTCTCCGTGAGGTTGTGATGCTCGTGGACAGTCGCGTGGCGGCGGACGTCGGGCACGGCATTTTCGAGAGTGACGCACGGATGTGAGCTGGGGGTGCAGTGCCTGCGGTGTGCGAAGAAGCAGCCCGAAGCGAGAGGCCTTTTGGGAGGGGCCGGCAGCTCAGACGCAGCCGCCGTCCCCCAGGACGCCAGTAGCAAGCAGCAGCCAGCGGCCGCTCGCGCCTGTCGTTGAGGGCCCGCCACGCGCGGTGCTGGAACTTCTGTGCGGTCAGGAACTCTTGCTTAGCGTGTCGCTCCGCCGGTTCTGGCCCACAACGCTTCGGAGCGACACGCTATCCACGTCTCAGTCCCCGAGCGTCAATGTCCAGAGCCTTTCCCTGCCTCCCGCCCCGCGGGGTGGAACGACGCGCTACCCGCTTGCGAGGCACAGCGTGTCGCCGGGGCCACCGCCGCGACACGCTAAGCAAAAGTTCCGAAGAGGAGGTCGCCCCCCGGGTCGCGCAGACGATCGCTTCCTTCGCGCGCCGCGGCCTCGGCCGGAGAGCCGCCCCCCTCTCACAGGGTGGCCGCGCGAGAGCGCGCAGGTGGCTGCGCGCCGCGCACCGCGGGGCGCGGTGCCGCGTCGTGGTGGGCGTGCCCGCGGGCCCGCCCCTGCTCCATCGGGCCCGCCCGGCGGCGGTTACTGGGTGCGCAGGGCTGGCGGGAGCTGCGGTGCCGCCACCGTGCTGCCCCGCCATGAGGCGCGATTCTGCGGGGCCGCGCTCGTGCCGCCGTGGGCAAACACATATCCGCATCCGCGGCCTGCGGCCTGAGAGCACTCTGCGTTTTGCCCTCGTGGGCGCTGCGTTTCGTGCGTATCACGGCGTGCGGCTTGGCCACAGCGTCTCTGTCCGAGACGCGCTTCTTCGTCGTAGCTTCGTCCATGCTCTGTCCATCGCAGCTGATCTGGCTCGCCAATTGGCTCCCTCGCTCATGTTGGGATGCTTTGTTTGCCTTCATCGGAGACCGCGACACAGATATATCCGTATCCGCGGCCTCGCGGGCTGGGCCACCGGGCCGAAACCCTGAGGGTACGGGGCATGATTTCGCGGATGCCCCGCGCAGAATGTACCCGTGCGGCCGCGTATCGGCGGGACCGCGCTCTGGAATCCAGACCGCGAGGGCGCGGATATTGGGGATGCGTTCGCCGCTCGTGATTCAGGGTATCCGCCGTGATTTGTTTGTTTCGCGGCGCGGGGAGGCTCAGGGTCCGGCGGGTGATCTTTTCCGCGTTGCTTGATTTTGTTGGGTGGTCGGCGGCCAGCGCGTTGAAGCACACACGCAGTGCGCAAGTCAGGCCCAGGCGGTGCAGATGGGCGTAGGAGCAGGCGATGGGGGCGGCCGCGGGGGGGCGCCGGAGTGGCCATCGGGGAGTGAGGTCCACCCCCGGAGGGCGCGACGACAGCCACGCCTCGCGCGCCGCGGCCGGGGCCGCCGAGCTGTCCTTCTCCCGGGGGGCGGCGCGAGGGCGCGGAGGCAACCGCGTGGGCTCGAGGGCGCGGGGGCCCCGAGCGAGGACGCACGCCCCGCGTGCTCAGGGCCGCCGCCCTGCGGCCTCGGAGCTCCGCCGCGAGCCCAGGCCGCTGCTCGGCGCGCCGCCGTGCGAGGCGCCCGCGCGGCCATGCCCGCCGCTCGTCGGGCCGGCGAGCCTGGCACTGGGCCCGCGGGCCGGCGTCGATGGTGCTCCAGCCCGTCAGAGCGAAAAGGCACCGATACCGCTTTTTGTTGTGTCTCTCTCCCACTCAGCATCGGACCGAGGACAGTGAGCCCACGCAAACAGCAGCAGGATGGGTGAAGCAGAGGCGGCGTCGCAGCCCAAGCAGCGTCAGAGAAGGAGGTGGTGGAGGAGTAAGAGGAAGAGGAGGAGGAGGAGGTGGAGGAGGGGGAGAAGGAGGAGGAGGAGGAGGAGGAGGAGGAGGAGGAGGAGGAGGAGGAGGAGGAGGAGGAGGAGGAGGAGGAGGAGAAGACCTTTCTGGAGGCCTCCAGGGTCCTTCTTGCGCCCCTTGGGAGGCCCTCGTCGCCACAGCTGGGTTTGTTTCGAAATTCTGGTCCGAACGTGCCCCGGGAGAGGTCCGTGGAGCAGCGGTATCGGTACTTTGTTGTGCCCCCAGGGACGTGCGTTGCGCTGCCGCGCCCCTGCCTGGAGTCAAGCAAGTGGTCTCCGCCGTGCCGTGCGGGGCGTCGTGCTCGCGCGCGCGGGCGTTGCTCCTGGGGCATCGCGTCTGCGTCCTGCTCAACGACGTGCTGCTGGCCCGTGCTGCGCTGCTCCGCGTCGTGTTTGCCGTCCGCCTCGTCCATCCGCTGGGGCCCCGCGACGGCGAGCTGCCCGTCGCCAGTGCTGCCAGTCCCTGCCGTGCTGCTTCGCGCCGCGCTGCTCGTTCTCGTCGTCCTCCTGCTGCTCGCCCGCCTCGCGCCAGTCGTCCTCTAGGTCTGTTGCGGCGTACTTCCCGCCGAGCTGCCGCTGTGACCCGTGTCGTCGCAAGGGTGGTAGTGGTGGTGGTGGTGGTGGTGGTGCTGCTGCTGCTGCTGTTGCTGCTGCTGCTGCTGCTGCTGCTGCTGCTGCTCGTCGGAGTGCTGGTCGACGTCGTGCCGCTGGCCAGCGCCGGGCTGCTTCACGTCGTGCTATGGGCAGTCGCTGGGGGCGCGAAGGCCGCACCGCCCGCCTCGCTGAGGGCGCTCGTGCGCCATCGGTGCCGTGCCTCGGCCAGCGCCCGCGGCCCCTCCCAGAGGGGTATGCACCCCCACCCTCCCGCTGGGGCGCGCGTCTCCCCGCCTCGAGCGCGCGCGCCGCTGACATGGCAGCGCGTGAGGCCGGCCCCACGGCCTCGGGGCGCACATGGCGGGGTCGACCCAGCGCCTGTTGGGGCTCACCCCCCGCCCATAGGCGCGCTCTGCCCCGCTGGGCGGCACCACCCCTGGCGCGCGCAGCGCGCCAGGAGGGGGCGCGGGGGGGATGTGGGGGGGTCCACCGCCGACCCAAGGAATCCCCGAGGGTCTTCGAGAGTCCGTGCTCGTGCGGCTTTTGTTTGTTCTCCGCCGTTGGGTTTTTCAGATGGCCCGGAACCGGGAGGGGCCGCGCGCAGAATCTGGCCTCGCGAGAGGGGCGGCTCCTAGGGAAGAGAGGGTGCCTCTTGGCCCTGGCGAGGCTCGCACCCTCCGCGCTCTCTGGGAGGCGGCGGCCCTGGCGACAGGCCGTGTCCTGCAGGCGGACCGCGCGTCGCTCTGCTCCTCCGGGCGGGGAGCTGGGAAAGGCGCGGACGTCGACGCCCAGGCACCGGGGCGCGGACCGCGTGCTGCTCTGCAGCGTGGTGGGCCAGACGCGGCGGCGGCGCGACCCGCCGAGCCAGAGCTCCCGACCGCAGGCAGGCCGCCCCCCCGCGGCCCTGCCCCCTCCTCCTCCCTCCTCCTCCTCCTCCTCCTCCTCCTCCTCCCCTCCTCCTCCTCCTCCTCCTCCTCCTCTTCCTCCTCCTCCTCCTCCTCCTCCTCCTCCTCCTCCTCCTCCTCCTCCTCCTCCCTCCTCCTCCCCCCTCTGCGCGCCGCCGGCGAGCAGCAGATTTTTCTCCGGGGGCAGCGAAAGTCGGGGACTTTGGGCGGTCCCCGCCCGGTCGGAGTCCAATGGCCACGCCGGCCGAGGCGACGGGAGCCTGCCTCAGCAGGTCCAGGGCGGGAATGTGTCCGTATCCACCGCCTGGAGCGTCGGTTTTCGGAGCCTCGGCAGGCGGTGGACATGGACATGTTCGGGCCCCCGGGGGTCGACACATACTCCAGATTTCGTAATAAATGGAGGGGGGTCTCATTTCGGGGGGGGGTCTCTTCCAGGCTATCTTGGAGGGCCTGGGGGGTCTGGGGACGATGTTTTGGAGGGTTCTCCCACGGGGGAGGTCTGAAATGGCTTGTCTTGGAGGGTCCAGACCCCCTCCCTTTTATTACGAAATCTGGAGTATCCATATCCACCGCCCGCTGGGGCACCAGGACGTCGGTTCCCAGGCGGTGGATCTGGATAAATCCCCGCCTCGCAGCATGGAGCGCGCGATCCTTCTCGAGGGGCTCAGGCGCAGCGGCCGTGCTGCACTGGCGATGGGCGGTCCATTTTCTGCTGCAGGCTGCGTCGCGCCACTGAGCGGATTCTCTCGCTATGCCCACTCGAGGAATTGTTTGGAGCTGTAGTCAGAGCATTTGTGGGAATCGTCAGTTCATCACGGGTGCGGTGTCCTGGGGCAGCACCGGCCTTTGCTGTGTTCGGGCCGATCAGCCGATGGCAGCGGAGAGGAACAGTGTACCAGTGCGTCTGCTCATGATAGGAGTGAGAAGGTGAATGATTGGTTGAAAACGCCATCGAAAGTGCGCTACCAATGCCCGCCGTATGTGCTTGTGCCATCAAGAACGCAATCGTCGGGAATCATTTTCTTGCGGATTGACTGTGCCCCGCGACCAGCCTTCGATCTGTTCTGAGTGTTGTCATGCTGCTCCTCAGTTAAAGCGTTGTCTAAGTAGTAAGTTCTTTCTTGTAATGTGTATGGAGATAATGATGGAGACAGAAGGTGAATGCGGCTGATGGGGACAGAAAGTGAACGCTGCAATTGACGAGTCACGCATGTGTCGTTCGCATGGGCGGGGGTGCAGTGGTCACCCGTAGAGCACGGCGCATCATGCCAAGGTCCTGCTCGGTCAGTGGCGAAAACTGCACTGCAACGAAGTGCTGCAGTCAAGAGGGCTTCCGGTGCTACGCCAAGAACCGAGAATGGAGCTCTTGTAAGCCCGACTGCGTGCCTGGACCCCAGCCGGAGGATTTCCTTCCCTGTGTTGTTTTCCCCTGCCTCTTTTGTATTATCACCTTCCCCCTCCCCCTTCCTTTGGCTTCCCCTTCCTTCGTCTCTGTTCTCGTTCCGTCTTCTAGCTCTGCTCCTCTCGTCATCCTCTTTCTCTTGGACTGGGCAGACATGGTGCAAAGTTTGCTCCTCCTAGGCCATGCTGACGCTGCGCGGCTTGCCAGAGCTACCCACAGCTAGCGTGTTCAGACCTTCAGGGCCATCTAAATGCTAGACTTAGCGGGTGCAGCTAAGTACTGCCAGACCAGATAGACAAACTAGAGACAGCCAGACCAGCTGGTTTGTCAGACCAGCCAGACCCGCCCAATCGAGCCCGAGCCAGCAAGATCAAGCAGAGCAGTTGTTATGACACTCTGTTAGGGTCAAGCGAGGGTAGCAGCGCAAACAATACAGCGCAAACACTTGAAATTCCACCATGACGCTTATGAAGTTCAACCAGTTGCTCCTAAGCTCAAACTCAAGGCCATGCAACAGACAACGGCAGCGACAAACACAATGCAGCGCATCATAAAGATAGCAAATCAACCTAAGCTGTGATGTCGAAGAACATGCGAGCATTTCGCAAAACTGTATGTCGAGGCGTGACGACCTCGTTGAACCTCCCTAATCCTCCCCAACTCGCACGCGGAGCCCTGTACTCGATCGTAAAATCATTATTAGTCTGTGAAGCGCCTGAGCTTTAAGACATGGGTTTGCGTGATGGATGCTTTACGCCTCGACGTACGCTACGCTTGACTCATCCAAGGAGGGAGAGCTCGCGATGGCTTTCCAATTGTTCCAAGGACGTGGGAGCATGACTCGACGGCGAACTTCTGCTTGCCATCGAGCCATGTCGCCCCAATTCCTCGGTGGCCTCCACTTTCGCGAGGGCGTGCTGGTTACACCTTGGAGGTTCTCGAACCCAGCCCGGGCGTGCCCGAGTGCTTGCGCTGAGATGCCCCCAGGACGTGGCGGCGCCCGCGGTGGCGTGCCGCAATGGGGGCCGTCGTCTCTTCCTCGGGGTTCGGGGTTGGGCGGTGGGAGGTGGGACACAGCGCCATCCTGGGCAGTGCTCCTGGCACTTCTCCCCTCCTTTGCCTTCTGATCCTCCTCCCCTCTCCCTCCCTTCCTCTCAGAGGAGGGTGAGTCGAGTCAACGGTCGTTGGCCTTCGGGTGACCCCCTCGTCGCCACGGCTTGTCGCAGTTCGGAAAACTCTGCGTTTAGGCTCTGCTTGTCTCATCTCGCTTTGCTTCGATCTTGCACGTCGTCGTCGTCGTCGTCGTCGTCGTCGTCTCGTCGTCTCGTCTCGTCGTCGTCGTCGTCGTCGTCGTCGTCATCGTTGTCGTCGTCTGCGTCCTCTTCCCCTCTCTCCTACCCCTCTCCTCAGCCTGCTTGTGCAGCCAGCCACTTACCTACCGATGCAGTGGATGGCCCCGTCCGTCTCTGGCGCTATGACGACAGCTACGCCGCGCCGTTCGCCAGCCACCGTGGCGTTGTATTGACACGGCATCGAGCAGCACGTGAGACGGACATGCGCCAGGTTCTTCCCCAGCGTGCCAGTGCTCCTCCTGCGGGGGTCGACGCCGACGCACCAGACCTGGCTCCCGACACCATTGGCCACATGCGCTCATTTGCGGATGCAGTTGCGTGCTTACTTCAGCAGGATGTTGTGCTGGGGGCGCCAAGTGACACCGAGCGCGGTCTCCATTCCAATTGCCAGGCCTACACTCCGACGTTATCGGCTCCTCACCAGAACTTCGCAGATCCCGTATTTTCAGGCCCCCAGAAGCGAGGGCATCGCAAAACAGGGCGTTGCCAGATCCAGCGGCAGGACCGAAGACTGGAGAGTGTCCTGACCCAGGGCTGAAGCTCTCTCGGGAGTGCCACTGTACTGGTCAGTGCCCCTGTTTACGCGGCTCTGGCATCGCATCTTTGCTGTCCCCTCTCTCGGCCACTTCTCTCCTGCAGCCACTCCGCCGTCCCACCCCCCACAAAGATTTCGCGGCGAAGCGCCGCCCATTTCGCTCCTGCTACAGCCAGGGACAGTGACCGTTTATGTATGCCATCGCTCGTAGGACAGCCCGGCTGAGTGGCTGAACGCTCCAACCCCCTTCATGTTGGCTGACCGCTCCAACCCCGTTCATGTGCACAGGAGAGCGTGTTTTTACCACCCGGGGGGAAGTTGGGGAGGGGGCTTGTGACGTCACGATTTGCGCTGGCGCCGTCTTGGAATGCTTTAGAATGCATCGTTCCCCGACCGCGCCGGCGCGACTCCTCACGTGACCAGGGGGGGGGGGGGCGAGGAGGGAGGGGGGCGTGGCCGGTCACCGCCAACAAAGAGTGGGCTCCAGCATTCGACTAGACGTAAGAGTGACCTTTCGCCGGAGTGACCTTTGGTGCGGGTGCAATGGGGTTCCCCGATCGCCGAAGGCGATGCGATCATAGCGCCTTGCGCGCCTGTGTTTGGACCCCCCGCGGCCCCCCAAAAGCCGCGCACCAAAGGTCGCTCTTACCCAGGGCCACTCCGAAGCGTGTAGCCGAAGCACTTCGAGCAGCTCAGTGGCTCCACGAGCCTCGTCGCAGAGCCCGTCCTCGGGGCCGTGGGCTGAGGCGCCGGGCGGCGTGCCGGCAGCCGCCCCTGGGCAGCCCTGGGGGGCCTCCGCAGGCCGTCCGAGCCGTCCCAGCTGGCCTCCGCGCAGGCCCCCCGAGGCTGCCCGGGGCGGCCTCAGCACCCTGGCGCCCCCTCTTTGGCGGCGCCCTGTGGGTATAGCTCCGCGCCCCGAGGCTGGGCTGCTGGCAGCGCCCTGGGCTCCTCGGGGGCCTCCTGGGGCCAGCCGGTCCTGCTCGAGGGGGGGGGGCCTGCGGAGGCCAGCTGGGACTGCCGGCGGGGGCTGCCTGTGCGCAGCCCGAGGCAATCCCGGTCCAAATGCGTGCGAAGCGGGTCCCTGGACCCCGCACGGGGTCCAGCCTGGCCCGTTTGTCGAGGCGGGTGCAGCCGTGGCGGCGAGAGTCCTCCAGGAGGCGCAGAAGCACGAAAAACGCCAGCGAGGGCCGCACTTGTCTCGACTGGTTCTTCTCCTCCTCCTCCCCCTCCTCCTCCTCCTCCTCCTCCTCTTCCTCCTCCTCCTCCTCCTCCTCCTCCTACTCCGACTCCTTCTCCTACTCCTACTCCTCCTACTCCCCATCATCATACCCCCATCATCATCATCATCATCATCATCATCATCATCATCATCATCATCATCATCATCATCATCATCATCATCATCATCATCATCATCATCATCATCATCATCATCATCATCATCGTCATCATCGTCATCGTCATCGTCATCATCGTCATCATCCCCATCCTCATCCTCATCCTCATCCTCATCCTCCTCATCATCCTCATCATCATCAGCATCAACATCAACATCAACATCATCATCATCGTCGTCGTCGTCATCGTCATCGTCATCGCCATCGTCATCGTCATCATCATCATCATCATCAGCATCATCATCATCATCAGCATCATCATCAGCATCATCATCAGCATCAGCATCAGCATCAGCATCAATATCAGCATCATCACCCTTCTCCTCCTCCCCCTTCTCCTCCACGGCTCAGGCAGGGGCGGGCCCACGCTTTGTGGCACGAACTTCACAGCCGGGGATTGTGTCTCGAATCAAATGTGCGAACAGTCAATCTATCTCTGCCATGGAATTCCCAGATGCCCCGTGGTGGAATTCAAAGCAACCGACCAACCCCCCCCGCGCATGGGATTACTCGGCATGCGGATGCAATACGAACATGCGCAAGCACTGCAAGGCCCATCGGAGTGACCAGAAGTCGGAGCGCACAAATGTTTCCAAGGCTGGTGGGTCGGATACTTAAAGCTTGGTGGGTGGTCTGATGGTTAAATGCTGGCTCTGCCTCCTGGTGTTCAGCTTCTACCTTTCAGCAGCTCGGGAGGAGGAACAAGAGTCGGCCATTTCAGTCCCAGGTCTCTCCATCAGCGAACTGTACGGCCGTACAGTCGTCGCTCGCAAACAAGGCAACAACAAGCTCGGTCGGGTGTAGCAGCTGGGGAACGAGAGGCTGCAGGCAAAGGCTTGCCCACTCAGCCAGTTCCGATTCAAGTCAAGATGTCCCAGGTGGCCAGCAACATCAAGGCCTTCGAAAACAAGCTTGCCAAACAACTTGGCGAACTTGATCGTTGGTGACATGACACTTCAAGCCACGAGGAGACGTGTCAGGAGCTTGCCGATGACATGCAGGAAGCCGACGACGAGTATCGCGAGCTGGTCGCTGAAGCCCACCGCGAAGCCGCAGACGCCCCCACGGATGTCATATCACCGCCGAAGGTCTCGCTGAAAGCCCTGGTTGAAGGCGACCCCTTCGACGCCCAGCTGGACGACGACCGCTTCATTGGCGAAGCGCTTTCGGCAGAGGAGCATGCGGCGTGACTCCAGGCGCGACGTGGCTCAGAAGCTCTTATCGGCCGCGAACGACCACTTCGGCAAGGCGCGCGATCAGTGCGAACATTTGGTCGCCCGCCTGGCCGCAAATAATAAGAGGGTCGGCGTCGACAAGGCTGCTGCTGGCGGCGCTGGCGCTGGAGGTGAACCTGGAGCTGCGGCTGGCGAGCCTGGGGCTGCTCCTGACGCGGGGCTGGCTGCAGAGGCCACTCAGATAGCGGCGGCTTCAAGCTCGGGCGCTGCGCCTACCGGCGCCGGCCATGCCAGCCCATGCTGCGCAAAACAGCCCCAGACTCTCAGCATCCTGTCCCCGCCCAAAGGAGGGCGAGGACCTACCCAGGCATAATCTCACTTGTGCCACTTGTGCCCCAGGTGAGGTCGCTCGTCGCGACGCCCCCCGTATGCAAGATGGGCTGCCCCCAGGCGCTCTATCGCGATCGTAGCTTTTCTATCCGCGCTGCCTGCCCTCGAGGTCTGGGAGGCCCCCCGCCCGATGGGCAAGAGCTCGCGGTCGC